TAATAGATATCCAGCATCCATCAATACTGAAATAATGCTGCACTTGATAGATGCATTGACTGACTTAGCCTAAGATAAGATAAGATAAGATAAGATAAGATAAGATAAGATAAGATAAGATAAGATAAGATAAGATAAGATAAGATAAGATAACCTTTATTGTCATTTTTATACTGTGGGCATAATGGCATACATCAAAAATGAAATTTAGTTGCCCGCTCTCAAAGTGAAACACACATATGACACACACCTAAACATACTATGAACAGCATATATATAGACCCACATCCCTAATATACGTAGGAAATAAATATTAAATATTGTCCATCTTGAATATATAATGGAAGGAGGAAGCTTGAGAATTTGCAAGGTTAATGCTGTATGGAATGAAACTCTTGGCTGAATCTGGATGTTCTGCTTCAGATACCACGAAGCCTCCGCCCAGAAGGTAACAAGGAAAACAGGCCGTGAAGAGGATGTGTAGTGTCCCAGATAATCTTACGGACCCTGCTCAAGCAGTGCTTCTGTGCTATGTCCTGGATGGGAGGAAGGGAACTGCCCATGATCTTTTCGGCCATTCTCACCACTCTCTGCACTGCATCTATGGTGTCATAGATATTCACTGCTGTTATTTTACATAGAGCTAGGCAAGCACTTTAGCAATCTTCACTAAAATATGAATCTGTTGTTTAGCTGACGAAAGAGCTCTCCCTAATGTCAATATTAGATAAGATGTGTTGATGAAGACTCTTAGTCATCGGGCAAATGTGCCAGAAGCTTGAATCTTAGCAACTGGACTAATTTTTGTTAGCTTGAGACATTTAGCTGCTCATCCAAGCAGCTTCATCAGTCAGAGCAAGTCAGGCAGAGAGGTTGTTGGAATGCACCAAGTCTTGCCACACCCTCCACAGGGGTTCTCTCCCCAAAATGCTAATGAAGCTGCTTGGATGAGCAGCAAAACATCTCAAGCTAACAAACATTAATCCAGTTGTTATGATTCAACCTTCTGACACCCTAGAGAAGGTGCTGCTGCTGGTTGGGGTGTCTTTCTAAAAGGAAGGAAAGAACAAGTAGACTTTTCATAGAACCAACTTAATGGTGCAATATTGACAGCGTTCAGTGGAGAAGAACACACATCCTGAACAGTGGTGGGATATAGCTGGTTTGCACCACTTTGGCAGAACTGGTAGCTAATTTTTTTGTTGCCCAGGCCCAGAATGTACTTCCAGAAGCAGCCTCCACACAGAGAACCGGTTGTTCCCATATTTGAATCCCACCACTGATCCTGAACTATCCCCTCCTTTGTTGTCCTTGGATGCTTGGGAGGGTGGAGGAACTCCTGGAGAAGACTGGGAAAAGATGAACTGGCAAAAATCTTATGTCCTTCCTTCCCTGGAGTGCTGAGTAGATTATTCCCACTGAGGGATTCTTCCTGCTGAAAAGGTAAAACAATACTTTTAGATCAGTGGTTCTCAACCTGTGGGACAGGACCCCATTTGGGGTCGAACGACCATTTCATGGGGGTCGCCAAACAATGCAGTCCGCCATTTCTTCCCCCTTTTCCTTAGCTGTGCTACTCCCTTTTATTCTATTGGCTTTTGAAAGCCAATAGAATAGACTCTCTTGAATAGAGTCTAATTCTATTGGCTTTCAAAAGCCAATAGGAATTGTCTCTGCCCTGCTGAGCCCGCCAAAAGTCCCATTCTGCAAACGGTGCTGCACCAGTTGAGTAGTCGACTTACGACCGGTTGAGTAGTCCTCGACTACTGGGGGTCGCGGCATTAAAAAGGTTGAGAACCACTGTTCTAGATAGCAAGGAAGAAGTAAAGCTGCAGTTCAAGCTCATATTTATATTGAACTGATTTTAGGTATTGTCAAATAATAAAGTCCTGCCAAGTCATTGTGGTGGTGGTGTTGGGGTATTCCTGGGAAGGATGAGCAAAGACTCTTAGAGGCATCTGCTCAGAGGCTATACAGGTAGTCCTCCACATATGACTACAACTGAGTTGTTAAGTGAATTTTGCCCCATTTTGCCTTTCTTGCCACAGTTAAGTGAATCTGGCTTCCCCATTAACTTAGCTTGTCAGAAGATTGAAAAGGGGGTCACATGACCCCGGGACACTGCAATTGTCATCAATGTGAATAATTCCCCAACATCTGGATTTTGATCACGTGACCATGGGGATACTTTCATAAGTGAGAAAAACGGTCCCTTTTTTCAGTGCCTTCGTAACTTGGAACGGTCACTAAAGGAACTGTGTAAGACGAGGACTGCCTGTATTCCTAGCAAGATCATTGAAGATCAACCCAACTGCCCAGCTAAAGCAAGCAGACACCTACATTGGGTACCAATGATATAGGAAGAGGCCAATGATCACCTTAGTGGCCATCAATTTGTTGGGCGTGGAAGAAGGCAATGGCAAAAATACTCCTGTATTTTATTAAGAAAGCTACATGGATAGAAAAATAAAATGATGGAATACCCACTGAAATGAGCCGAGGTGACGCAGCAGTTAGAGTGCAGTACTGCAGGCCACTTTAGCTGTGTTCAGCAGGTCAGCAGTTCAAATCTCACCAGCTCAAGGTTGACTCAGCTTTCCATCCTTCCGAGGTAGGTAAAATGAGGACCCAGATTGTTGGGGGCAATGTAAATATATATATATATATATATATATATATATATATATATATATATACACACATATATATATATGTATATATATATATATATATATATATGTATATGTGTATATATATGTGTATATATATATATATATATATATATATATATATATATATATATATACACACACACATACATTGCTTACTGGTGTACACCGCTTAGAGAGGTGCACTTAAAGCGGTATATAAGTCTCATAAATAAATAAATAAATAAGTTACAGAAGACGCTTACGTCAAGGGTCTAACCCAGGGTAGGCAATCTTGACTCGTGGACTTCAACTCCCAGAATTCCTGAGCCACCATGGAAACCTCCCCCTTTCCCCTCAGCATGGCTGGCTCAGGAATTCTGGGAGTTGAAGTCCACGAGTCATAAAAGAGCCAAGGTTGCCTATCCCTGGTATAACCGAGCCACGTCAGCAAATCTAGTGGCCAGTCAGCCCTGGGGTTGAAAATAAAATAGAAGCTGTATTGGGCCAGGTGATTCAACCCAACTTTCAATTAATTGCTACGATTTAACTGCATTAATTTTTCAGCCATTTACCATCACTCTGCACTACCATTAAAGAGATGACGTAAGCCTTCCCTATTTAAAATGGGAATAAAAAGCAGACTTTAAGACATGTGATCCTCCAGCAGAAGTTTTTATTTTATTTTATTTTGGCACAAATAGACCACATATAACATTCAGCAGCCTCCGTTCAATGTCAGAACTGGACAGCTTGAACCATCTTCTCTTCTGTCACTGCAGCAACTGATAAGATAATACCGGGCAAATACAAGTTGTGCTATTAGAAGAAACATTATCTCTACAGCTTCAACTCCAGCGTACAACTCTTGTTCTCCACCAGCCATCACCACTCAGACTCCAGATCGAGGTTTGAATTTCAGGCAAGCTCTGGATTTGGATTCAAAAAATAAATAGTGGGATACAAGTAGTCCTTGACTTACAACCATAACTGAGCTCAACATTTCCATTGCTAAGCAAAATAATTGTTAAGTGAGTTTTGCCCCATTTTAAGACCTTTCTTGTTACAGTTAAGTGTTAAGTGAATCACTGCAGTTGTTAGTCACACGGATATTAAGTAAATCTGGTTTCCCCATTGACAGAAAGTCACAAAACGGGTTCCCATGATCCCGGGACACTGCAACTGTCATGAACACATCCCAGTTGTCAAGCATCTGAATTTTGATCACATGACCATGGGGATGCTGCAACAGTTGTTAAGTGTGGGAAAAAATGGTCCTAAGTTATTTTTTTCATTGCCGGTGTAACTTTGAACATAAGTTGAGGACTACCTGTTAGAATGTGGATTAAAAGGTGCACAGACACTGGACTGCCAAAAGAGGCTCTGAAAACTTCTTTTTTAAGAAAAAGATCAATCCTGTAGCATCTGAAAAACGTATCTAGACATTCAATAGCTGCATCTGTGCAACAGGATGGGGAAAGGTCACACTTATTTTGGGAGCCAAGGAGAAATTATCTACAGTTCACATTTTCTGCCCCAATCATAAGACTTACAGAGGGAGCTTTCCAAACAAAAAGGTGAAGCAGCAGAATTAAACCCCACCCTTTGAACTACAGATGCTCAACCACAGGGGTTTTCAGACTTGGCCCTTTTATGACTTGTGGTCTTCAATTCCCAGAATTCCTCAGCCAGCGTTGCTGGCTGAGGAATTCTAGGGGTTGAAGTCCACAAGTCATAAAAGGGCCAAGTTTGAAAACCCCTGATGTAAAGGAAGATTTTGAAACAAGCCAGCATTTTTCTAAGGCATGCCAGCTGGAGAATTCTGGGAGTTGAAGTCCACGAGTCATAAAAGGGCCAAGTCTGAAGACCCCCTGCTCAACCAGTTTGATGATTCATAAGACAAATAGCATGTTATAGAGCTCCACCTGATTACCTCTTTGATCATTGTCAAATAAGCTCAGGGTTGTTATCATCCCTTCATTGGCACCACAAGACTTGGGTCAAATTCCCTCCCAGCCTTGCTACTGTATTACTATCTTCTCCGATGCAAGGACTTTAACTCCCAGAATTCTCCAGCTAACATGCCAATGCAGGTTAGTAGTCCTCAATTTACGATTGCAAGCGAGCCCAAAATTTCTGTTGTTAAGCAAGACGTTTTGTTACGTGAGTTTTGCCCCATTTTACAACCTTTCTTGCCACAGGTGTTAAGTGAATTACTGTGGTTGTTAAGTTAGTAACACGGTTATTAAGTGAATCCGGCTTCCCCATTGACTTTGCTTGTCAGAAGGTCGCAAAACGGGATCATGTGGCCCCAGATACTGCAACCGTCATAAATATGAACCAGTTGCAAAGCAACTGAGATTTTGTCACATGACTGTGGGGATGTAGCAACGGTGGTGTGAAAAATGGTCATAAGTCACTTTTTTCAGTGCCACTGTTAACTTTGGTCATTAAATGAACTGTTGTTAAGGACTGTACCTGTATCTTAAAAGCTGATGAGGCTGAGAATCGCTGGTTTATGCCATTGTGTCTTAAGGGGGAGGGGGTGTTCAGCATGCAAAGCTCCCCTAGACCCACGCCCATCCCCTGGCTGAATGCTTCCTTGCCCCACCCTGCATCCTCTCTAAGGGCATCTTTCTTGGGCCACAATGCCAGAAACAAACTATGTCTTTCTTCCTTCACCATTCACGCTGCAGTGTTTCCAGGAATCTGACTGTTGCTACAATACAGCTCTTAAAACTGGGAGGGTAGCAAGCGTAAGGTGTGCTTTTACTCATTATTACATGGTGGGCACTACAAGGGAGGCTGGCCCGGCACCCACTCTGGGTCCATTTCACAAACGGTTGGGGCTGCAAAAGCCCCACGGCTTTTAAAAAAGTGGAATTGCTCTGAGCCCCACTCCCCAGCCTCCCAGCAGACTTCTCATTCCCCATGGCAGGCAGGCTTTTAGCCCCACGTTCCAGCTCACAATTCAATGGTATCACTTGAGAGGCTACGGGAATCTACTTGTTTGCTGAGCGCCAAAAAACTCTTCCGGGCCTCACGTTCGGAGTTTGGCGCACTGCCGGACAGCGCCGGAGGGAGATCCTCTGCCTGCTCCTGGAGCGGTTGGCTGGGCAGCTCCTCCGAGGGCAGGCTTTCGGGAGAGGACACCCCATGGCGCCAGGGGTTCCAGCTGATTTTCAGGGATGCCCGGGAGAAGGAGGTACGCGAGAAGCTGCCCAGGGATGTGTCTGTGAGTGGCTCGCTGGCCAGGCCTTGGCTGACAAGATCTCCCACTGAGCTGGTCCGCGCTAAGCTGTACAGGCAATCAGGGTCGCTGCTCCGACGGGGCTGGGCCAGCAGTGGCTGGGCTGCGTGGGACAGTGTGGAGCAGTCGCCACGCAGTGAAGCACAGGAGTCATGGCGCGCCGGGAAGCGCAGGCTGGAGCGTTGGAAGATGGAATCACGCACCAAATGTTCGCGGAAGAGCGCTTCATCAATGCTGCGGCTCAGGTTAATGGGCGAGGGAGGGCGGAACTCCAGCTCAGCCAGCGAGAGAACTGACTCCCGCTCGAAACAGATGCTGGTGTAGGAGCGGCCCATCACTGCTGCCGCAGCCACATTGGGGCACTTGGGACTGTAGCCCGCATGCCTCGGAGAGGGGCTAGCAGCTTGGCCAGCTCCCACTCGCAGGTCGTTGCTGTCTTTGAGAGCCCAGAGTAGCCCACTGGCACGGGAGTTCAGGATCAAGTTATTGTTGAGGTTGTGACTGGGTATCTTCTCCAAGACCCCGCCAGGCCAGTTGTAGCAATTGTTGGGGTACTCTGGCACCTCAGCCTTGCGGTAGGCACAGAAGTAGCTCAGGAGCTTGGCCCAGCAAGAATGCTCGGTGGTGTCGTGGTGCTGGCATAGTGCCTGCCAAGCCAGTGAGACCAGGATAAAGGAGAGTGCCAGTTCGCCAATCCGGAACCAGAACTGCACAAACCACCAGCCCCAAGTGAAAATGTCCGGCTGCCCCAATGCCCCTGAGAGCCACAGTACCCCACAAAATTGCAAGACGCAGCATGGCAGTATCAACCCACTGCTTGCCAAAAACACCCAGGCTTCCCGCCATATGCCTGGCTCCAGGGTGCCCTCCATCCCCCGGCTGTGCCGCAGCAGCCAGTACACAAACACAGTGGCTGGCAGGAGGCAGAGACCGGCAGTGCAGGAAAGAGTGTGGAGTCCCACAGACACGGCTGAGTGCATTGGAGGGGATAACAAGTCAGCCCCCAAGAGCACGATGCTCTGTAGAGAGGTCAGTGCAGCCCAAAAGGACAAGCTCTGCCACCTGGGGGGCAAGACCTGCAGCCGGGCCTGATGAACCAGACGGAGCAGAAGCACAGTGAAGGTGCTCAGCAGCAGAGGGAAGGGTGCAGTGTACAACAGTCGCATAGCATGGGCAGGCAGCCGGCCCAGGGAGCCATAGGGGTCAGCCAGGAAGAATGTGGCCCGCAGTACGCCAAACATCAGGAGCAGGGCACTGGCAGCCAGGACATAGGGGAGCTGCGACCCGTGCAAAGAAAGGGATACCCCCAGGCAAGCCAAGCTCAACAGGCTTAGCAGCAGAAAGAGCACCCCAGTGCCGTAGACATGCAGCGCCCAAACAAAACTCAGCCTCTGCTCAAGTTCCCCCCAGCGCAGCCGAGTCTTGTTGGGCAGGAGCTGGTGGCAGGTGCTTCCAAGACGGGGGCAAGGTGGACTGGAAGCAAGGGGCATGGCAGGCAGGCTTGGATCCGGCTTAGGCAACTGAGGAAACTGCACAACTCTTTGCGTGGTGACTTGGATTAATCCACGGCGAGGGGTAGCTGGAACACGAGCAGATGTAGTGGAGACCACAGTGCTACTTTGCCCAGAAGGGTGCTTCCAAGCTGCATCTGAAAATAAGAAAGAGGCACATGCATGATCAAGACTTAGGAAGCACCAGGCTTGCAGTACCACACAATTTTCTGATTCCTTGTCATTCTGGCCTCTGCCCACAATAACAAAACAGACAGTAGCATGCGTGGCTGTCATGCCTCCATCAGAGCCTGAATCTGTGGAGGAAAATGAACTAGAACGGGACCCTATGGAGGTTGAGGGAGAGGTGTCTGTGGTTTCAGAGGAATGTGGGGAAGAGCAGGCCAAGGCACGCCAGGGCCCTTCAGGATTGAGACAGGATGAACAGGAGAGACAGAGTTCAGGCGATGAGCAAGGGCCACCCCCACCTGATCCTAGAGCACGGAGAGTGGAAAGAAGGAGGGAACAACGCAGGCATGCTCAACTACTCAGGAGGAGAGCGTCCCGCCCCTCTCCACAAGGCACACCTGGAGACTGAGATTTAAGGAGACGCTGTGGGGAGAGGCATTTGTCAGGAACAAATGCTGATTCCTTGGAGTTTTGTGTGTGTTGTTGCTGATATCTTGTTTTGTGGCTTTTGCTTGGAAACCCAGAAACTCTGATCTTTGGACTGGCTGACAACATTGCTTAGATCAGGGCTTTTCAACCAGGGGTACGGGTACCATCTGTGGTACATTGGCACCTGGCAGGTGGTTGTGAGCATCCTAGAAAAGTGGTAGTGGGGGAGGAGAATGAGCTGAACCGGTGGCAGCACCGCACAAGTGTGAGCGACAGATGGCTGGAGCTGCAGGGTTGTCAGGGCTCAGCGGAAGCGCAGGATCAGCGCCAGGCTCCAGCTGGAGCTCGGCGCTGATCCTGGTGCTTCTGCTGAGCCCAGAAGAAGTGCTGATCAGCTGGAATGTTGCAGCATCTCCAGGGTCTTGTGGTTTACATTCAGATGCTTGGCAACTGATTCATATTTATGACGGTCACAGTGTCCCAGGGTCATGTGAAGTGATCAAAACCTGCTGCAACCACCCAGCAGCTGGGGGGAGGGATAAAAACCAAACACCCCCCCACCCCACTCCCACTGCCAATCCTCAACAGAAATGCTCACAACAATGAAAACCTTGGACAGGAGGAAGAGCGCCGCCGCCGGGCGGGCAGGCAGGTGTCTTGCTCGGCTGTGACTTGGGGGGCACTTTTTTCAGTGCTATTGTAACTTTGAATAGTCACTAAGCAAACTGGGAAGTTGAATATATTTCCCACATACTGGAGCGGTTTCGGAGGTCTGTATTTTTCTTGCTCCTCCCTTATTGTTTCTTTCAAAGAAAAATACATTAAAAATACATGGTTGAAGAATTTGATGTGATGTAGAATTTAGTAAAGTTTGTAAGATTTTTTTTTTAAAGTGTAGATTTGGAGCTAAATTGAAAATGTCCCTGTTCTGCTCATTGATCTGCCTTCAAGGACTAGCAGAACTATTTACAAATATTAAAAACAGGGCCTTGCAGGAGTGATCTCTCTAAAGATATGTGGGAATAACTTGAGGAGACAGGCGGAAGAATCACAGCCTAGATCAGGGGTCTCCAAACTTGCTGGCTGAGGAATTCTGGGAGTTGAAGTCCCCAAATCTTAAAGTTCATATTCATAAATATGAATCAATTGGAAACCCCTGGCCTAGATCAGGAGTAAGCAACCTTGGCTCTTTTATGACTCGTGGACTTCAATCCCCAGAATGGAGTTGAAGTCTACGAGTCATAAAAGAGCCAAGGTTGCCTACTCCTCGCTGAGGTAATGGTCAGATAAACTAAACCTGAGTCTGAAGGAGGGATGGGATGGAGAAAGTGCCTCACAAGGCTTCCTCCATAGTTTTCGGGAGAGTATAAAAATAAGGGAGTGGAAAGATAATTTCAGATTGCAGATGATTCTGTTACAGATAATCCTTGGTTAATACTATTTGTTCAGTGACCATTAAAAAACTACAATGGTGCTGAACAAGATTTACAACTGTTCCTTGTATATGCAGCCGTTGCAGTGTTCCCATGGTCACGTGATTGGGATTGAGGCACCTGGCTGACAATTACATCACGGTCATGAGATTATAATAATAAAGTTGGAAGGGACCTTGGAGGTCATCTAGTCCAACCCCCTACTCAGGCAGGAAACCCTATACCATTTCAGACAAATGGCTGTCCAATCTCTACTTAAAAACTTCCAGTGTTAGAGCATTCACTGCTTCTGGAGGCAGGTTGTTCCACTGATTAATTGTTCTAACTGTCAGGAAATTTCTCCTTAGTTCTAGGTTGCTTCTCTCTTCAGTTAGTTTCCATCCGTTGCTTCTTGTTCTGCTTTCAGGTGCTTTGGAGAATAGCTTGACTCCCTCTTCTTTGAGGCAGCCTCTGAGATATTGGAACGCTGCTATCATGTCCCCCCCCGTCCTTTTCTTCTTTAAACTAGACATACCCAATTCCAGCAACTCTTCCTTATATGTTTTAGCCTCCAGTCCCCTAATCATCTTTGTTGCTTTTCTCTATACTCTTTCTAGAGTCTCAACATTTTTTTTATATCATGGTGACCAAAACTGGATGCAGTATTCCAAGTGTGGCCTTACCAAGGCATGTAAAGTGGTATTAAGACTTCACATGATCTTGATTCTATCCCTCTGTTAATGTAGCCTAGCAGTGTATTGGTTTTTTTGGCAGGTGCAGCACATTGCTAGCTCAGAATTACCCTTTGCAACTTTCATGTAGAGCTTTTGACAAGCAGAACCAATGGGGAAGCTGCTAGGAAGTCACATATGGTGACTGTGGAACATCATGCTTAATGACCATCTGGGATCTATTTAATAACCTCGACTGGAACTGCCAAGTTGGTGTGGTCATGTGACACCTTGCTTTATAACTGTGTCACTTGGTGACAGAATTGCTAGTCCCAATTGCCATCATTAACTAAAGACCTGTAGTGTAACTTAACAATAAAGGTAATGTTCATGGCAGATGCTTCTTGAATAGTCTTCCTCAAAGAGCTGACATCCCCTTGAACATATCCCCTCAGAATTTTCTTTGGCAATTTTTTAAGCAGGCATGGCTTATAGGCAGATTGGCTGGGTTCATATGAGTATCTACTGCAAAGTAAGTCTCTGCTTAGAATTCCTGGACAATAAATATTTGTTTTAAACCATTTTCGTGGAGTTTATGCTATCTGGATCAGAACTATAATGCATCTCAGTTCACGTTGCCAGAATATGGTTTTAAACAAATATTTATTCTGGCAGAGACTTACTTTGCAGTACATACATCCGATAATATTCATATCTGTCCATTCTCATAGGTAAAAAGGAATAATTCCCCATCTCAGCTAGGCATGGTTACAGATACCAATCGATCCGTGCATGATGCTTGATTAAACAAAAGCTTTTACAACCCTGGCACGTAGCCTGGACATCCTGTAATTAACTTTGACTAGATAAGATATAGGACTGACTAACAACTAAACTACATTTCCCAGAGGTCATCTCTTAAGGAGACAGCGTGGCACCCAACGTGAGGCATGAACCCACGTTGCTCAAAGCTTTTGATATGTTGAGCAACACAGAAGCCATACTAAATAAATGAATGAACACTTTTGAATTTCATGGCGTAATATAGGTAGAATATACATACATTAATATGACCAGACTTGCAAGCTTGTGTCTACCAGGCATATCTGACTTCAGTTCTCAGGCTGGCTGGCAACTGAAACCAAAGCACATTTGGAAGGCACTAAGAAGCTTAAGACTGTTCTAGATTTTGCTGGTGGTGTAAAAATGGGAAGGTTCAAATGACACATACAATATGGTTGGTTCATCAAGGGGTAACTTTTTGGAATAGTAGTTCCAAATAGTTTTAATGCATATAAGTAGATTTGTGAGGAAATCTTTAAATGCTAAAGATGTTAATGTGATGTTGAATAATATACTAAACCTTTGGAATCTGTTTATCAGAAATTATGGCTGTATCAAGCATGGGTAAAAGAGGTAAAAGAATTATACTGAGAAACTGGAAAAGTCATATTATTCCAGATGTTAAGGAAATGTGTGACTTATCTGTTATGGAAAAAACAGTATTTTCTACTAATCAAAAATGGAATGTATACTACTATAGCAGAGATTTTTGAAATGTTTTATAATCATATTTTTATTGTTTGTTTTATAGCATTGTATGGTATTAATAGTAAACCAGTGACTACTGATATGTTGAATATATAAAGTCATTTTTTTTCTTTTCTTTAGCCAGTTTGGATTTGAAAAAAAAATCTTTTCTTTCCTGTAGGCTTTCCCCCCCTCCCATTTTCACACAGTTTCATTGTTGTTAGTTGTTTTTAGTGCTTTTAGGTGTTTTCTCAATTTTCTTGTGATTTCTATTTTGAAACCTAAATACATATTTAAAAAGCTTGTTCTAAACTTACCTTGCCCCTTTCATTATTAATTCTGCTCTATAGTTACTGCCCTCTTTTGAAATATGGTTATTCTATCTCATCTGTTCTGTACTGAGGCTTTCTCAGCTCAAACCACGAGAAAAGGTATCCTCCAACCCTTTATTATTGTTCAGAGAGAAAAATAATAAAAATAAAAGCCGTCTAAGAAAATAAGATGGTAATCATACTCCCAGTTGTATAATAACTTGGTTTGAATAATCGGATTCACAACTTAGTTGTGAATAATTGGACCTGAATCAGCAATGGAGAAACTGGTCCATTGCAAGGATCCTCCCATACAAGGCACGAAAACAGTGTCTCATCAGATGCCAGAGGAGCTGCTGAATCAGCTTTGTAGTGTCTACGAGGCAGAGTTTGAATACATAATGGTTATGGAGAGGAGCTGCAGCTGTGGATGCAAGCATAGGATTTTCTCCTAGCTCTTTATAGTAAAAGTATTTATTTATTTACATTATTTATTAAATGAATTTATATAAACCACCTAGGGGACTCTAGGCAGCTTACAACATTAAAATCCACAACATAAAAACGCTATGCCTCTACCCCACCCCATCCCACCCGCGTAGCATGGCAGCAGCAGCAGCGACACATTTATTTATTAAACAATAAGTGATCTCCTATCGGATACCCTTTCAAACAGAGATATCAGGGATCAACACTGATTTCATATACCACCCAAATCATATGAATTTGATTTATCGCAGAATCAATGTGGTACTTAAGGCAAATTCTAAACTCCACTCTGATTCCTCTCCAGTTTTAGCTTCATGAGGTGACCAGAAACAGCCCAGAAGCGAGGGTTGCTTTGGGAGCCCTGTCTGGAATCGAGCCCCGCCAGGAACAATGTACCAGATGCTCTGCATACAAAGTCATTACAAAACAAATGCTAGATTACTGAATTCCATCAGCAGCGGGGTATGAACTCAACCATCCACTTAGAAATCAGAGCATCTCTGAGGGGAAATGGAAGCGTTCATCTGAGGCCTAAAGCCATTCTGATGCACAGCGCAGTATCTCTCCAACTCAAAACCTCTCCTCCTGTTTTGCAGAGGCAGAATAACTCATGCAGCGTTCATCAGCGTCAACATCAAAATATCAGCCAATTCAGCTTTTCCCCACCACAGCAAGCTTAACCATTGCTTTGGAACTCTGCTCCAGCAATAATGGGATTCAGCTCCATCAATAGCATTCCCACTCTATTATTAAAATAGATTATTTATAGGCCATTGACAGGGTAAATGGCACCTTTCAGCATACTGAAAGCCATGAACTTGCTCTTAGTTTCTAATCCAAAATTTAAGAGTGGCAGAAGACCTAGGGTGCAATGTCTCAAGAGCAAGAAGAAAAAGGAAGAAATAATTCAGAGTAAATCTAGAGCAGTGGTTCTCAACTTTTTTAATGCCGTGACCCCAACCAGTCGTAATTCGAGGACTACTCAACCGGTCGTAAGTCGAGGACTACTCAACTGGTGCAGCACCATTTGCAGAATGGGACTTTTGGCGGGCCCAGCAGGGCAGAGACAGCCTGCACAATTCCTATTGGCTTTTGAAAGCCAATAGAATTAGACTCTATTCAAGAGAGTCTATTCTAATGGCTTTCAAAAGCCAATAGAATAAAAGGGAGTAGCACAGCTAAGGAAAAGGGGAAAAAAATGGCGGACTGCGTTGTTTGGCGACCCCCGTGAAATGGTCGTTCGACCCCAAATGGGGTCCCGACCCACAGGTTGAGAACCACTGATCTAGAGTTTGGTACGGTTTTTGTCTCTTCTGAGAAAAAATAGACTCAGTTTCCTAATCTGGAATTTGTACTTAATGTTGATTAAGTAAGACCAGTTCTTACTATCTTTGCCTCTTCTAGATATTTTCAAATCAGTTGATATAACCAAGATGCCTTTCTTCCTCTCATCCAGCAGGCTTCTTAAGTATATTAGGTTAAGAAATAGTGACTGACTCCAGAGAGAGTTACAACTGACTGCAGAATTCTCAAGTCCTACTCTGGTATTTAACCATGGCACTCCCGCATCTTAAAATAAACTATACTTGTCAACAGAGGTTCCATCTGTGTGTTCAGCTGGTTTCTAATTCCATGGAATTGAGTGTGAACAAGAGGATCCTTCACACACACACACACGTGCACACATACTCTTACATACACTGTGTATGCACTTGGCCATTGTGGGGAACAAGATGCTGACCTAGACAATTTTGGTCTGATCTGCCAAGGTTCTCTCCACGTTAAAAAAAATCTCACTTACCTGAATGCTTGGTTCCAGCATTATCCTGAAATTTTGAGGGGCTCTGTCCTGGAGTTGAGGAGCCAAAATATGTGAGAGAGACTTTAGGGTTCACGGCTCCCCTGACTCGTTGGGGCTCTGCAATATCTCGCATTTCTCCAGTTCCTGAAAAGAAAGGAAAAGGCCTGAGTGAAATCAAACATTTGATGGTCTCTAAGGTTGGCCTACAACAGGGGTAGTCAACCTTGGCTCTCGTGGACTTCAGCTCCCAGAATTCCTGAGCCAGCATGGCTCAGCTTGGAAACCTCTCCCTTTCCCCTCAGCATGGCTGGCTCAGGAATTCTGGGAGTTGGTCCACGAGTCATAAAAGAGCCAAGGTTGACTAACCCTGGCCTACAATGTTGTCCTGGTTGGGGTAGAACAGCAAAAGTTGCCAAAGGGAAAAAATTCCTCTAAGTTAGCCTGACATTCATGATAGACAGCTTGCTGGTATCTTTCCCATCATTCCTGGTTTTAAATAATTAAATAGTTGGATGCCTTGTCCTTACACCTCAAATCTGAGACTTGGGGCCACCCAACGATAAAGCTAGTCCTTTGGCCTCTCCATCTGGTTCTGCCCCTAGGGAGACCTCTCCACTTTGACCTCCTTCTTCTGTCCTAGTTCCTCTCAGAAGTTCTGTTCTCAAGGAAGGTTATTCCAAACAGAGGAAGGGGATGAAGGAGATTCTTCTAGCAGCTCTTTGAAATATCACATCAAAGGCAGGAGTTGTGGGGTTTTTTTTAAGCCTAATGCAAACCATCTTTATCCTACTTGGGTTTTTCAAGATCAACTAGCTGCTTTGTAATAATAAATACAACACATGATCAGCTTAATGATCACAATTAAACTATCTTATGCAGGTTTAGAGATCACCTCCCCCTCCAGGAAATCCATCATCAGCTCCAAAAGAACCCCACCCTGAAATATTCCTACCAGCTCTTCCTATTATTCCCAACTGCCCGCCCATCCCATGTTTCTTTCATCGCAATCAAATATGTTGGCATTCTAATGAAAGGAGTCACTTACTCATATGCCAACCTGCCAGCTGAATACATATTGTATCCAGGGTCAAGTTGAATGCAGCTTCATCGTACACCCTCCTCCCTTCCAGACACATTCAATATTCACAACCACACCAGTTGCTCCTCTTCTTCTCATACTAAACCAAGTAACAAAGAATGACACTTGAAATCGATGTGATCTTCAACAACAACAAAAAGGGGTCTATGACAATTCGCCGCGGCCAACCCGCTACGGGACAAGGGTTACACTAATATCAAAGAAATGGTGAAACAGAATCCTTAAAGAAAGGATGCCGAAGAAAGGACAGAATGAAATGTGAATAGCAAAAATTAAAATATTTTTATGTATTTTAAATAATTAAATAGAATTGTCCCGCAGCGAATTGTCCTGTGTTGAGTTGGTTGTGGCAAGTTGTCCCATTCCGAAAAAAAGCAGGTCTTGTTTGGATGTTAACCAACCAGCTGAGCCTTCCTCACTTCTCTGAGCTCCATTTTCTTTTCCAAATTTCATTTCTGGCTGCTGCTGAACATATTCAGCCTTTCTTCTGGCCTACCGTAAGGGTTCCTTGGTTAACCGTCCTTCTTATGAAAAACTGGTGGCTGAGTGTGGAAAGCTAGCTGGCATTTCCCTCTTGCTTTCAGGCTCTCCATTTGGCTGTGTTGTTATTGGGAGGTTGTTGCTTATGATCATAAGAAGGATGATCATCTTTTAGGAAGTAGCCAAACACAACCAAGGAGTAAAGGGAGGAGGAGGAGGAGGAGGAGGAAGAGGAAGAGGAGGAGGAGGAGGAGGAGGAGGAGGAGGAGGAGGAGGAGGAGGAGGAGGAGGATTCAAACAAATAGTGAAGTGGATGATATTCAGTACTCTGGACTAACAAGGTCCAGAATGTTTATTTTATAAAAATAACAGATCCTTCATATCTCTAGCTTTCTGCAACTAATAAAGAAGCTTATAGATTAAATATTGTTGGAATATGGCCAAAAGAATAGATAAAGCTTGTAAAAGGGCCCTATAGTAAGAGGAATAAGATATATAAGTATTATAATAATTTTAGACTATATGAAATGTTAAAACATTGAGAGGGTCTATTGAAATGAAAACTTTGGATATTTAAAGGTAATGAATTTTGAGAAAACTATGACTGATAAGAGTGGTTTGAATACTGAGGGGAAACTAAGCTTGTAAGACTCTTGAAAACAGGACATATAATGATTTATCGATGACTTTTATAAATACAATGGAAATAAACTGATTAAAAAAATGTTATATGTTGATATTATTACATGCATAAGTACTAAAAAATGTTTATATTCAACTTGGTTTGTACTGAAAATATTAAGAATTATATTTGTTTAATGTAGACAAAAGGAGAATACTACAGGAAGAAGAGAGGATCAAGAAATATATTACTAACATATTGATTGAAGACATTATCATTGTTTTAACTCAGTCAACACACTGTTCACAAAGCACTAAAGATTGTTATTGGAAAAAATTAATAAAATATATTTCTTTAAAAAAAGAAGCTTAATACAGAGGCATTTACCTTGTAGGTAAGGATGACTCTGGTAGCATCTTTTCTGACAGAAACAAATTTAATTAAAAATGCATAAGCTTTGGTGAGCTCAGCTCAGCTCAGCTCAGCTTCTGCTTTTTAATACAATTTGTTAGTCAGGACAGGTGCATCCAGGCTCCTGACAGCATCTTCTAAGTTAGTTAATCCTTTCTCTGCCAGTTTTGATTGCTATAATCTGGTTGCTGGAATGCTACTCTTGAAAGGGAAAGATACATTTATATTACAGATAGTCCTGGATTTACAAACCACAATTGGGACCAGAATTTCCACTGCTAAGCAAGACAGTTGTTAAGTGACTTGTGCCCAATGTTATGATCTTTTTCCCCCTCCCCCCCCCCGTGGTTGTTAAGCAAACCACTGCAGTTGTTACATGAATCACAGAGTGGTTAAGCCAAGGGTCTTCAAACTTGGCCCTTTTATGACTTGTGGATTTCAACTCTCAGAATTCCTCAGCCAGCGTGCCTGGCTGAGGAATTCTGGGAGTTGAAGTCCACAAGTCATAAAAGAACCAAGTCTGAAGACCCCTGAGTTAAGCAAATCCAGCTTCCTCCATTGATTTTACTTGTCAGAGGTTAGTTGGGGGTTAGTTGCAAATGGCAATCACATGACACCCCCCCCCCCAGGATGCTGCAACCATGGTAACTTACATGCCTACTGCAAAGTGCCTGAATTCTGGTCATGCAACTGTGAGGATACTGCGATACTTATGTGAAGATCGGCCACAAGTCTCTTTTTTCATTGCCATTGTAACTTTGAAGAGTTGCCAAAAGAATGGTTGTAAGCTGGGGAACTATCTGTGTCATGATTCTCCCCTTTCATTTAATATGTGCCCTCCAAGAGCCCGGTCCTTGATCCTTAACCAGGTTTTCTCCTGAACTCCCAACCTTTTCTTGCTTCCCTGTCATCGGGCCAGATCCTGGCTCCCCAGGGCACTTGGTGTCTCTCTTCTCCTAGCATTCTTGCCACCTCTTGCCCTCTCCTGTCCAGTTCTCCTCCTATTCCCAGGACAGGAGACAGGTGTGAAAGTCTGGGTGAGAACGTTCAACAGCAGAAGATCCCTTTAAGTACGGAAAACAATGGCAAATCTAAACCTACCTGGGGTAGCAGAGCTGCCGTGGAAGGTGGTGGTTTCCATTCCAGCCGTGTCCCAAAGTCCTGGCTGCTGTGTGGTATCAATGATCAGATTCCAATGGGTGCTCCTTTGATGAAGGTTGGGTTCTTGGGGTGTCACCTCTGACAATGAAGGGGTGAAAGGGACAGGGAAGTGGTCATCCGAAACAGGTGAATGGAAGTCTGCTGGGCTTTGCCTTTGCTCCTTCCCAATCAGTGGGGTGACTATTCCTTCCTTAGAGGTGGAAGTCACTGGTGGTCTATCCCTGTCTTGCCCAGGGAGATTCTGAGTATCTCCAACTGCCTGAACCACAGGCCTAAGGGGAGGCGCAGAACGTTCCTCCTGGCCAAGGAGGCCACTATGCACCTGTCTACTCTTGTATGAAGCCAAATGTTTTACCGTGGTTAGATTCCGGCCCAGCAGTTCCTGCTCTGGCACTCTGTTTTCCAGCCATCCTCTTGAAGCACCAGCCTTAGAATCAGCATCTTCAACCACCTCCCATTTGACATGAGATCTGCTAACAGGGAAGGTTGCCAAGGGAATGGTGGACACGGTGGGCCTGGAGCTTAAGGTAGTGGCTGGGAGGCCTTGTTTGAACCCTGTTTGGTGGAGGCTGGGCAAAGATCCCTCCTGGGAGACAAGTAATTCTGAGGCTTGTGGCCTGGGCGAAGTGGAAAGAGGGGGCATCACAGAGGTGGACATGTTTCTCTTTGACATGCCAGAAGAAGGAAGAGGGCGCTTTTTCTTCCTCTGCTTTGAACTTGATTCCCAAATTATACCACCAGTATCCTCAACCTCTCCCTGAACCCCCCAAAAGCCTTCGGTTGGCAGAACAAGACTCTCCTCAGTCAAGTGGGGAGCTAAACTTCCACCAGAAGAACCAGCTGGTGTCCCCTTTGCAAGGAGTTTGAACCTCCTCTTGGGTTTTGCAGCTCTAGGGGGGCCCACTGGCCTGGCACTTTGCCTGTTCTCATTCCTCAGTTCCCCGTCTCCACTAGAGAACTCACGGGCAGAGGAATCTGAGTGGGGAATGACTGGCAGTGCCCTTCGAGGGGGCCCTTTGGAGGAGACCTCCAACAGAGGTGACTCTGGGACAAAATTCAGAGACAAGTGCCAGGTAGAGTTCTCTGGACTTGGGAGGTACAAAGCCAGGAGTAAAGCAGGTAAGAGCAGGCTCCAGACCAGGAACAACCCCACGGCAGCCATCCTTGGTGAGAGACAGCAGGTCACTCAATATCCAGCCTGGTCACCGCTGCTCATGCTTCATCCTGTGGATAGGAACATTTGTGATTGTGGGAATGAAGGGGTAAGAAGACGATCTGAAGCCAAGAAATGGAGCAACACGAGGCAAGGGAAACAGGTTCAGTGACAAAGATTACAACAGCCAGTTTGCAGAGAAGGATAGAGAAAAGGGGGAAGCCGAATGCAATGGGAGGGAGGGAGGGAGGAAAGAAGGAAGGAAGGAAATAAGGAAGGAAGGAAGGAAGGAAGGAAGGAAGGAAGGAAGGAAGGAAGGAAGGAAGGCAGGCAGGCAGGCAGGCAGGCAGGCAGGCAGGCAGGCAGGAAGGAAGGAAGGAAGGAAGGAAGGAAGGAAGGAAGGAAGGAAGGAAGGAAGGAAGCTGCAAGCAAGGATGATGTATGATAGTCCATGGCTGCACTCATACTGAGGCACATGGATGTAAATATGAATAGGCAGTCATGTGCATATACCATTCCTCCTCACATACATGGCTGAGAATCCCCTTCTTAGTGCCAAGCACTGGTGGGGGCTCATGCACGGAAGTGGCCGATCTCAACAACTCCTAACCTGAGGCTTTTGACAGAGCAACTGCAGCAAGACCTTGAGCCCCTAGGGAACAATGTGAAAATTCTTGGTGGCATCATCCTGAGCAGGAAGAAAAATCAAGGTTCACAGTTTTCAGAGTCTCTCTTTGCTCTGTCCTGGCCTCAAAAAATGCCTCCTTCTCACTGCCCTTTGTACCACAGTTACATAAGGAACTGCCTCATCCATGTTAGCCAGTTAACCTTTCACTCCAGTGGATGAGAGCTCACAGAAGCCTCAGAGGTCTTTTCCTTCCCTGCTATTCTATTTAACTTTAACTGCTAAAGAACTGAATCTGCAAGGAAGACTGCAAACCTTAAGATGTATTCCGGAGAAGTCAGACTATTCTACAGAGCAACCAAACATCTCATTTCCCAACAATCTCCCGCTGCATATCTGGCCCCTAAGCCTTGTGGGGCCTCAGCTCTCCATCCCACTCACAAGTTGACCTTGAATGTCAGTATCCCATCCCAATCCAGCTTGAGGACGGGGATGCTCAGACCAAGCTAGCCGAGCCCTGCAGCCCTGATTGGTGCCTAAAATCCTGCAAGGCTTAACCCCTTGCAACTAAGAGCTGCATGATTTGCGATTCTTGCCTGCCGAGCTTGGGAAAAGTTATTTTTCTTTCTCAGAGGCAATCACTGTTTCTGAATGGATTTAAATTAGCACAACCCCATCCTTACGTAAGGAGGTCAGCAGGATCCAAATCAGGATTAAAATCTCACTTTTAACTTGAGCCCAACTTCCCATCCACGGAATTAAGAACCTGCATAATGGACTGTTTCTTAACCCACGTTCCACAAATGTATACTTAATATAATTTGTAAGCAGTCTGACTTCCATGGATTCCAGCTGGTTTACAATTGAAATCTGTAAAATGGGCATAATAAAGGCTAATCTCGCAACTTGTTGAGAATGTTGCCCTGATAAAAATAAGATTCATCATAATTTGGGGGGGGATCAATTCCCCCTTCTCCTAGTCATATCTTGTCACTTTTTTTTTTTTTTTTTTTTTTTGCAAAACAGCCCTTTCCCCCTCCCCAAGCTTCACACAACCTAATCCTGCAAGGGACAAGCTTGGGTAGCCGATTCAAAGGGTAACCTCTTTCCTCCCTGCCCCGAAGGCATCTTCCCGTCCTTGAACCCACCTGCGATCTTCTCGCAGACCTCGGTCTCCTATCTGGGCCAGCCCGAGGCTGATCTTCCCGAGAAGGAAACGAAAAACGCAGCCGGCGAAGTGTCGCAGGAGTCAAACCCGCTTCTTAAGCTTCTGCCCGGCTTCAGTGGCGGCGGCGGCGGGCGACGATGAGCGATCAGTGGCTCAGATACCGCCGGGGGGTGCGAAAGGGGGGGGGACCTCCTCGGCGCACCCAAACTTAGCCAGAGCCGGGGCGTCTCTGCCTCCGAGGCGGGCAACGGGCAGGGCGAGCCAGGCGTTCTAGCCGGGGACCAGACTCATTCATTAAGCAGGGCACGTCGCGTCTGTCAAGAGCCCGGGGCCCGCGGGGGAGTGCCCGCCCTCGCCTGGGGAGGCTTCCAGGCGGTGTAGAACCGCTGCGGCCGCCTCGGCCGGGGCTCCTCCTGGCGCTGCGCCTGCCCCGCCACAGGCCTCGGTCACCCTGCGCAACGGCGCGTCTTTGAGCGCCAGTCCTTCCGCGGCGGGGCCTCCTGCTCAACAAGCTGCGTGGAGGCGATCGCCAAGCCCAGAGACAGCTGAGAGGTGGGGGGCGGCAGCCGGTCCAGCCCGGCACCGTCCGGTCCCACTGCCGGCACCGGCACCTCTCCGTCCACCGACGCCCCGTTGGGATCAGGCCATCGCGCGGTGGGACGGGGCAAGGAGAAGAGCACCTTTCCGTGCCGGATTCACACCCGAGACCAAAAAAGGCGCCAAGGAGGGCCCGCTCGGCGGCGCTTCAGAAGGCCCGAGTGGGCTCTGCCGCTTCGTCTCCGCGATCGCGTGCGAAGCCAAGCTGGGGATGGAGGCAGCTGGCAGGGCTCGGCTTACGGGGCTCGCGGAGGATTAGCCACCCACTCGCGGGAGGGCGGAGCGGGACACCGCAGTGTCCACGTGGCTCCGTGCTGTGGCTAATCCTCGCTGCACCTGCAGCTTTGATCGCGGGAAAGAAACGGCGGGTTAAGTTTTCGAGGGAGAGTTACTTGCCTTTCCCCCCCCCCCTTCTTTTCCCCAGGAAATCTGAAGCTACTTTGCGCACATCAAAAGCCTTGAGTTTTTGCGGCTGAACTCTTCAAAATCGCTGACCCGAAGGAAACCGGCTGAAAGCACCAATCAAATGGAAGCGGGGAGGGCAGAGATTCATTCACCCCCCACCCACCTTTATTCAGGGATGCGTGCATCACATGCTAATTATTTATTTAGCGTATGATGAACACATGACAGGGGAGCAATAGTCGTCCATGGCGTTCTTTAAGCTGCTCCCAGGGCGATCCTAAATGGGTGACAGTGATCAGATGCAGCCTCGCGGCCATGACAAACAAAAATGCATAAGATCGAACAGGGATTCCTATAAAGGTGCTTAACCCACCACTCCATGCCTTCTGGATATGTTACTCCATCTGACAAGAACTATACTAGTACTCAGTGCTTTTTTTTTGTAAAAACAAAAGGTGCCAGAACTCACATACATCATACAACCCGCCTTGCCTACCTTACAAGGTTCCATCCAAAAAAGGTGCTGGAACTCCATTCTGGGCGTTCTATGACAAAAAAAGCCCTGCTAGTACTATACTACAAGTATGATACTAGGGAAGGATTAAACGGAGGAGGAGGAGGAGGAGGAGGAGGAGGAGGAGGAGGAGGAGGAGGAGGAGGAGTGACAATGTAGTTCATCTCCCAATAGAATCAATGCAAAGTGATTCTGTGCAGCCAGGTTATCTGAGGGACTGCTTCTTCCCTCTTACATCTACCTGTCCCATCAGGGTGGCGGGATAGGCAGGCATGCTAAGGGTTGCATCTGCCGTCCGAGAGGATCTAGGAAGCCAGACTTTTCTGCCTTGGCACCCACTTCTGCCACATCATCCCTCCCCAGGTGATGTTAGCCCCAACCATTATGGCCTTCCATAAAGGTATCAAAACGTTTTTGGGGTTATTTTTTTTTTTCCAGCAAGCCTGGGAATCCCCTGGTAATGAGACTTCACACTCGTTATATTGTATGTAATGACTTCCCTCTCATGTTTTATCTGTGATTATTTTTAAGGGGTTCATAAAATGTTTTCATTCCTAGTTTTATTTTAAGCCATCCAGAGGAACTTCTGGTGAGATGGAAGTTGTCAAATAAATACACAAATAAAGCAGATGTAGGGAAGGGGATTGTGGAAGGTGCTTGCTAAATGAAAAGAATTATATTACATGGGTTGGTGTAGAGTTGCACTAATAGAAAGTACAAAAAAGATGCTTGATGGGATGATGAAGTAAGCTGTGGAGGGGGAAAATGCAAATAAGAAAATTATTACTGGAAAAATGAAGAGGATAGAATGATAATGTGTATACTGATGCTTACATGCATAAAAATATATTGTTGTGAATATACTCCAAAACAGCAAGGACCCATTAAAAGAGTTAGAGAAAATGCCCAACAATTTTGATGGATATATTGAAGATTGGAACTGAAGCAATGTTACAAAAGTTAGTGTAAAAGAGGGGAAAAACAATGACAAGGAAACAAATGGTCTGGCAATGTTGAAAAATGGTACAGATGCAGATAGTTTAACTGGAAAAATGTTAAAATATGGATATCATTTGCTTGTGGAGGACTGGGTGAATTGTTTAATAGGTATGAAGATTGAATTAGTGCCTGATGTTTGGAAGGTGTTCTGTTTCATTATGCAAAGAAGGAATAAAGAAGGCTGATGTAAAAACTATAAAAAAGATGGTGAGACTGGAGGTTAAAACATATATACTGGGTATAATGAAAAGAAGGACAAGGGGTGACATGACAGCATGTTCCAATAACTGAAGGGCTGCCACAAATAAGATGGGAGTCAAACTATTCTCCAAAACACCTGAAGGCAGGACAAGAAGCAATGGATGGAAACTAATCAAGGAGAAAACTAAGGAGAAATTTCCTGACAGAACAATTAATCAGTGGAACCACTTGCCTTCAGAAGCTAAGGGTGCACCATCATTGGAGGCTTTTAAAAGAAGAGATTGGACAGCCATTTGTCTGAAATGGTATACAATTTCCTGCCTGAATAGGGGGCTAGATTAGAAGACCTCCAAGGTCCCTTCCAACTCTTTTATACTGATATTCTGTTACAGAGTGGGGGATAGCTTGTAAAACATGTCTGAGAGCATGTTTGCCAGATATTCTACTACTGCTGTGCCTTAACATAAATGTGCATGTCACACCAGCCCTTTTGAGCTTTCCATGCTTGCCATAAATTGCTCTGTTCATTTAATGGCTGTTACTTTTCACTTTCTAAAATCCCCGTGTTGTTTGGCCGAGATGATGCAAAGAGATGCTGGCGGTCACTGCAGAGATTAGATGCCTGAGGAAATCCTCCATTAGAAAATGGGACTGCCAGGCAATGGTGGTTTGTCAGAGCAACTAACAATCATCTCTTTTTTTACCTACTAGAACTTGATCACTCCTTATTGTTTTCAGTAGCTGCCATCTTGTTTTGCATTTCTATTCTGTTTCTACACCCTTTTTACTGGTTTGGTTGCTATGAAAGAGATTTATTTTGGATTATAAGAAAACCCTGGAATCTATCACACAGGAATGGTATAAGCCAGGTGTAGGCAACCTTGGCTCTTTTATGACTTGTGGACTTCAACTCCCAGGATTCCTGAGCCAGCTATGCTGAGCTATGCTGGCTCAGGAATTCTGGGAGTTGAAGTCCACAAGTCATAAAAGAGCCAAGGTTGCCTACCCCTGCACTGTAAGCTGAACTGCCTATTAAATGAGATGGAAATAATGCATGTTTCTGATGAGAAAAGTGGATAGAATGACATGCAATTTAATCTTCACATTAAAATTGTCTAGGCTGCTTCATAAAAATATGGTAACAAGAGCTATAAAGAATCATCCACTTATTACCTTGGGATGTATTTGCAAAGGGAGGGAAAAAGAAAGTAGAACGGTGTCTTGATGGCTCATATTTCTCAAAACTCAAAGTTTGAGCTTTGGGCCCTAAGAACGCTAGTTTGAATCACTCACACCTAAGATTGAAATCCCAAAGCTTTTCGTTAAAAAGGGAAGAAAGGCTACTAGATTGAATAAGAACCCCAGAGGCCCTCTAGTGGTCAGTTTCAAGAGCAACCTAGGCCTCCCTCTCTGAGTTTCTGCAGCTTTGAGATGTGTGGACTTCAACTCCCAGAATTCCTTTTCTTTCTCACGCATTCACAATTATTAGTTTTTTTGTTTCTGTTGTAATATTTGTATTTGCTAAAAACAATCTTCAATGAAATTATATTTTTTCTGTATTTTGTATACATATACTGTATGCAAGGAATAGGTATGTTGCAAAATACCAACTTGCTTTCAACTCTAAGAATGGCTGGATGGGAATTCTGGGAATTGAAGCCTACACATCTTTAAATGGCCAAGGCTGAAAAACACTGGTTTTCTATCTTCCCCCCAACATCTAGCTATGTAGGGCAGATAGTCTTGGGCAGTGTTTCTCAACCTTGACAATTTTAAGGCATGTGGACTTCAACTCCCAGAATTCCACAGCCAGCATTGCTGGCTGTGGAATTCTGGGAGTTAAAGTCCACATGCCTTAAAATTGTCAAGGTTGAGAACCCCTGGCTAGGGCACAGGTCTCTAAGCTTGGCAGCTTTAAGACTTGTGGACTTCAACTTTCAGAATTCCCAAGCCAGCATGGGGAATTCTTGGAGTTGAAGTCCACAAGTCCCTGGTCTAAGGCTAGAAGAAGATGGGGGGTGGGATACAAGCTTCTTACCATTCATTCCAGACTCTAGAGACCCTAGAAAGAGTACAGAGAAGAGCAACAAAGATGGTTAGGGGACTGGAGCCTAAAACATATAAGGAACGGTTGCTGGAATTGGGTATGCCTAGTTTAGCAAAGAGAAGGACGAGGGGGAACATGATAGCAGTGTTCCAATATCTCAGGGGCTGCCACAAAGAAGAGGGAGTCAAGCTATTCTCCAAAGTGCCTGAAGGCAGGACAAGAAGCAAGGGATGGAAACTAATCAAAGAGAGAAGCAACCTAGAACTAAGGAGAAACTTCCTGACAGCTAGAACAATTAACCAGTGGAACAACCTGACTCCAGAAGCTGTGAATGCTCCAGCACTGGATGTTTTTAAGAAGAGACTGCACAGCCATTTGTCTGAAATGGTATAGGGTTTCCTGCCTGAGCAGGGGGTTGGACTAGATGACCCCCAAGGTCCCTTCCAACATCATCATCATCATCATCATCATCATTATTATTACATTCATTCATTCATTCTATTTGTATAGCTATCCATCTCAGCCAAGTGGCTTACAATTTTTAAGCATCACAAATATTTTGGCAGGAAGATTTGCCCTCTTAATCCTTGGTCCAAACTTTGTTGTGGTCCAAACTTTATTTTCCAAATTTTCAAGCTTTCAAAATTAAGCCCTTAAATCTTTTTAAGTGCCTTTTCTAAGTGGGTGGGTGGCCCTGTCTCCATTCCTCAGCTAGAGGTTGCAGGCCAAAGTGTCAATCTGTTTGGGATCTCAGAATTTGGAGGGGAAGATGGATAGTTGATCCCCTACAGACCCAGAGAATTTCAGAGCTCATTTGCCAAAAAAATCCCTCCATTTGTTTGCTTATGCATGTATTTGTTCCAGGTCTATTCATTTCCCCTCTTTCCTGCAGGCTGCCTCTCCCGTCCCGCCTTTTATTCCTGTGTCACTGATTAAAACGGCAGCCGTTAAATATAGCTCATTCGAAGCCACCGAAGCCACCGAATACTTGATCTGCAGAGACTGGAGGGGGGAGGGAAGCCACTGCCAACAGAAATCCTGGTCTGGCCTCGCAGTGAATGGGTCAAATAGAATCAACATACTGTCATAGCAATAGCTTGATAGCAAGGTGTGATCAGAAAATGAATATGGCAGCTGCCATGGTGCAATAAAAATTCCACGTTTTTTTATGTGCAACACTTCTTTTTTTTTTT